CACCCATTTTGAATAATATTGCATGAGTTCCTTGTTTTTCAATGCAGCATAGTATTCCATTGTGTGAATATACCACAGCTTCTCTATCCATTCGTCTGTTGATAGGCACTTGGGTTGTTTCCAACGCTTTGCTATTGTGAACAAAGCCGCAATAAGCATGGGTGCACATAGCAACCCAATGTTTCAACCCGCTATGACATCAAGGCGCCTTCATGGGGTTGAAGGGAGAGGGGGGGAAAAGTGGAAGGGGCTGATGTGGTTTTAAAATTGAATTAATATCTAGCTTGCAATGTGTTCTGAACAAACCACCTGGTGTGACCGCAGAGAGGAAGTGGTGGGCGGTGTGCCTTCTCTTACCTTCCTCTCTCTCCCGAGGCTCACAGCCCCGACTGCTTCTCAGCGAGGGCCGCTGGGAGATGGTACCATTTGGCAGGCAGAATGTTCCAGCACATTCAGGACCCTCGTTAAGTGACTGCTGTCGTTGTGGACAGGTGAGTTGGAACCGACCCACCGCTGACCATCCCGCGGGAGTAAATCAACACGGGAGGAGATTGCTCCTCTTTCTTCCACGGATGCATTTGAAGAGTGGACCTTTGCATTGGCGGTGCAATTCCGTACCACCAAAACCACAGGAGTTTAGACACACTTTCTAAATCAAAAGTGAGGGCTCCCTTAATCCTACTTGTGAGGTAAAAAGGCCCAAAGGTGGAGAACCAGATGTAGTAAAAAAAGGAATTTATTATCAGCTCTTTGGTGGGGGGAAGGCGCAGTTTGCACACCCAAGCCAGAGGGAGGCAGTAGGAATGGGAAGCCACGTGCAGGAAAGTTACAACAAAGGTCTTATGTGCCGTGGAGAAGAATGTAAGTTGATCTGTTCGGTGGTCAGCTCCCTGTAGAGGACATTAATTGGGTGCCCTCTGTCCCTTCCCCTGTATGGAGCTGCCCAGGTTCCTTTAAGTGAGTTGTGTCACGAATGGCATTAAGAGGAAAGTGGCCAGTGGTTCTGGAGAATGTCCTGAGTTCTGGTTTCAGAAAAATGTCCTGACATAGGGATTTCTAAGTAGAGCTTCAACCTCCATTTTTCTTTTAAGCCTAACACACGCCACTGTGGTTTTGACTGTCACCGGTATACACACTTAGAGGACATGATGTCCAAAAATGAGGTGCAGTGGTGTCCGCAACCTGTCCTGTGGCCAGTCCCCACGCCGGGGAGAAAACAGTGTCCTTATGAAGAGCTGTGAGCTCACAGGCCGAGGTCACCGACCTAAGGTGCTGCCTGTGGTGGTGAAAAGTGTCAGGTCATCCCCTGCTGGGACGCCAGCCCCACATGCCTCACCCACAGGGTGACTGGCCACTCATTGTTTCTGCTGTGGCCGGAGCAATGCAGGATGACCCTTGTCCCATCTCAGAGCTTGGCAGCAGGACGTGCAGCCGTTCATGTTTGACTTGGAATGGATGACCTCATGGGCCTTGAATGGGCCCTTTGCCGGTTGTCTGGACCACCGGGTGAGAGGGGCACAGAGACCAGCAGGGTAGAGGGGGGCCTAGAGCCCAATGGTTCAGAGAGAGCCCACTGGAGCAGAGAAGGGCAGAGCTAACACTGAAGCAGAGAGCCCACCAGGGCGCAGAGCCCACTGGGGCAGAGACCATAGAGGCAGAGAGAGGAGTGGAGTGGGGCAGAGACCACAGGGTAGAGAGGGGCAGACAGGTAGAGACAGGCAGAGTGGAGGACAGACAGAGGCAGAGGACGGAGAGGGACAGAGAGACCACTGGGCAGAGAAAGGCAGAGACACAGTTAGAGCAGGGAGCCCACCAGGTTGGAGAGATGACTGAGGCAGAGAGGGGCAAAGAGGAGCAGACGGAGGCAGAGGGTCGGCTGGGGCACAGATGGGCAGAAAGGAGCAGAGGGTCGGAGAGTCTAAAGGGGCAAAGGGCTCACCCGGGCAGAGAGGGGTACAGACAGGCAGAGAGACCACAGGGTAGAGTGGTGCAAAGAAGGGCAGAGAAGGACAGACGGGGGGGGACAGAGTTGACCAGAAAGGGGCAAAGAGACCACCAGTGCTCAGAGGGGCAGAGAGATGACCTGGGCAGAGGAGCCGAGAGACCACTGGGGCAGAGAGAGTCAGAGGGGCAGAGAGACCACCAGGGCTGAAAGAGGGGCAGAAAGTGGCACAGAGGGGCAGAGAGAACACCCAGGCAGAGACGGGTTGAGGGGCAGAGAGACCACTGCAGCAAAGAGTCGACAAGAGGCAGAGAGACCACCAGGGCCGAGTTGGGCAGAGCGGGAAAGAGAGGGGGGGGAAGTGGCACAGAAAGACCACCAGGGCTGA